GCAAGAGAAAGATTTAGAAACTACATTCCAAAATAAGGGAAAGGGATCTTGAGTGTAGTTTTTTGTACAAGTAAACCCCCTCTTTTTTTAATTGTACCTGTTGACTTAGTGTACCTAGAAATTTGAATTGTACAAAAACGAACAATGAATAAACAAAGTTTGGTAGAGAAACTTCCAATGTGTTTCAGAATGCAAGAAGGGGTGGAACTTACAGAAAAGCCTAAGAATAAACTAGTTAACAGGAATCAGGACAATCGAATATTAAATGACAGCAAGAGCACCATATGGACTAAAACACTAAGGAAGAGTGTTTTGGAAAAGATGCACTCAAGTAAGAGTAGAAGGTAAAGGAGAATGCATTCCTAGTGACAAGAACAAGGAAATGAAGTTGGGGTGGGGGGGGTGAGTGAGTACATTTACTGAAGAGGAAGAAGATACAACCAAATGGAGAAGACTGTGTCAGTGGGATATGAGCTTGAATTGGCAAAATAGGATTGTATTTTATAGAAGCATGGTGTATAGAAGCACGCTGTGTATAGAAGCCCGCTGAAGGCAATTGAGAAGCATTTAAAGTAGGCATAAAGATAATAAAATGGTACTACCTTTGGTACTCAACAAAAGAAGTACTAGAGGCTTGCAGGCAGTGTGTTCTGAATATTCAAGGACATTTCTATTATTGTGCTAAATTACTGGTGGTAGAAAATATGTACATGGTTCTTTGAAAGATGCTAGATTGTTTTTAGAGATTTAAAATCACATACGCAGTAAAGAAGAGACGCTAAGGCAAAGGAGAAAAGGAAAGGTATATCCATCTGAATGCAGAGTTCCAAATAATAGCAAGGAGTGCTAAGAGAGCCTTCCTAAGTGATCAGTGAAAAGAAATAGAGGAAAACAACAGAATGGGAAAGACTAGAGATCTCTTGAAGAAAATTAGAGACACCAACGGGATATTTCATGCAAAGATGGGCACAATAAAGGACAGAAATGGTATGGACCTAACAGAAGCAAAAGATACTAAAAATAGGTGGCAAGAATACACAGAAGAACTATACAAAAAAAATCTTCATGACCCAGATAATCACAATGGTGTGATCACTCATCTAGAGCCAGACATCCTGGGGACTGAAGTCAAGTGGGCCTTAGAAAGCATCACTACAAACAAAGCTAGTGGGGGTGACAGAATTCCAGCTGAGCTATTTCAAATCCTCAAAGATGATACAGCTGTGAAAGTGTTGCACTCAATATGCTGGCAAATTTGGAAAACTCAGAAGCGGCCACAGGACTGGAAAAGGTCAGTTTTCATTCTAGTCCCAAAGAAAGGCAATGCCAAAGAATGTTCAAAGTATCGCACAATTGTACACATCTCAGACAATAGCAAAATAATGCTCAAAATTCTCCAAGCCAGGCTTCAATAGTATGTGAACCAAGAACTTCCAGACGTTCACACTGGGTTTAGAAAAGGTAGAGGAGCCAGACATAAAACTGCCAATATCTGTTAGATCATAGAAAAAGCAAGAGAATTCCATTAAAACATCTATTTCTGCTTCATTGACTATGCTAAAACCTTTCACTGTGGATCACAACAAACTGTGGAAAATTCTTAAAGACCATCTTACCTGACTCCTGAGAAACCTGTATGCAGGTCAAGAAGCAATAGCTAGAACTGGACATGGAACAATGGACTGGTTCCAAATCAGGAAAGGAGTACATCAAGGCTGTATATTGTCACCCTGCTTATTTAACTTACATGCAGAGTACAGCATGCAAAATGCCAGACTGGATGAAGCACAAGCTGGAATCAAGATTGCTGGGAGAAATATCAATAACCTCAGATACACAGATGATACCACCCTTATGGCAGAAAGTGAAGAAGAACTAAGGAGCCTCTTGATGAAAGTGAAAGAGGAGAGTGAAAAAGCTGGCTTAGAGCTCAACATTCAAAAAATGAAGATCATGGCATCTGGTCCCATCACTTCATGGCAAATAGATGGGGAAACAATGGAAACAGTGACAGATTTTATTTTCTTGGGCTCCAAAATCACTGCAGATGGTGACCACAGCCAGGAAATTAAAAGATGCTTGCTCCTTGGAAGAAAAGTTATGACCAACCTAGACAGCATATTAAAAAGCAGAGATGTTACTTTGCTGACAAAGGTCCATATAGTCAAAAATATGGTTTTTCCAGTGGTCATGTATGGATGTGAGAGTCTAAAGAAAGCTGAGTACTGAAGAATTGATGCTTTTGCACTGTGGTGTTGGGGAAAACTCCTGAGAGTCCCTTGGACTGCAAGGAGATCCAACCAGTCCATCTTAAAGGAAGTCAGTTCTGAATATTCATTGGAAGGACTGATGTTGAAGCTGAAACTCCAATACTTTGGCCACCTGATGCAAAGAACTGACTCACTGGAAAAGACCTTGATGCTGGGAAAGATTGAAGTCAGGAGAAGGGGACGATAGAGGACGATAGAGATGGCTGGATGGCATTTCCGACTCAATGGACATGAGTTTGAGTAAACTCCAGGAGCTGGTGATGGACAGTGAAGACTGGCGTGCTGCAATCCATGGGGTCGCAAACAGTTGGACACAACAGAATGACTGAACTGAACTGTACTGATACATGAGGATGACCTGAGAAAATAGCACTGCCATATACACACTATCATGTGCAAAACAAATAGCTGGTGAGAAGCTGCTATATAACACAGACAGCCCAGCCTGGCGCTCTGTGATGACCTAGAGGGGTAGGATGGGGTGGGGGAAGGAGAATCATGAGAGACGGGATATATATATACATATATATATATATAATTATGTATATATATAGTTGTATCTTATTCATATTGTTGTACAGCAGAAATCAACACAACTTTGTAGAGCAATTACCTCCAATTAAAAAAATTTTTTAATAAAATCACATATGCAATAGTAGACCCAAATGAATACTCTATATGGCTATTTAGGAAGCATTACCATGACCTAATCCATAGCTTTCATGTCATATTTATGCAATAGTTTTACATTTTTATCATCTTTTAAAAATAATTTGGAAAATAATAAATTATGTTTAATGGTTAGTACTATTTACTTGAGAAATGATATTTGAATTCAACTTGTACCTCTGAGAGTAGAAATACAATGTGGATACAGTACAAAACTAAAGGCTATTACTAGATAATTAAAATTGAGGAAGGAAATTCCCTTTAAAAATATTCCAAATAAATGACCCTGAAGAAGTGTTCTTTTCCATTGATAGTTTATATTTCTGTTTCTTCTTTATGTGAGACATGGAGACAAAATTTTACCTAGTATAAATAAATAATATAAAGAAGGAAACAGTAAGCTAGAAATATCCTTCCAAGGTCAATTCAATGAATGGTCCCTATATTGTATGATTATTAATTTTTAGGGGGAAGCAGCGAAGCAACACATCCTGTTATATAGGTTAAAATCAATCTCAAATGAAAATTATTTTATGAAAATATTTTTAACTTCTAAATGTATTTCTTCAATCTCTAGTGTCTTTGGACCACCCCACTGAATGCTAAATGTTTCTAATCTTTCTTTTTTTCCCCTCAAGTCCGTTGCAGAGGTGTGTGGCTATGCATGCATGTACCATGATTCTTTCTAAAATCCAATATGGATAAAATTATTTTTCTAAGGAGAAAAATAATTTCCTTCTTGGGAATTACTCGGTTTTGCTGGATACTTTGATATACTTGTTGAGAGGTGTGCATGTGAAGTCCATCAGAATGTGTGTATGAGTGACAGCAGTGTTAATTGGACAGTTTTCTAAAATAAATGGTGTCTATAACTGCATTGTTTTAGTTCTTCTTAGAAGGCAAGCTTGGAAAGAGAGCAGAATTACATTTAAATAGAACTGTGTAAAGAAAGGGAGGGGAGAGAGATGAGATGACTAGTTGCAGATAACAGCATAATTTTGAAGAGTACTGACATGCCAGATAAAGGTGTTGATTACAATCTCCTTGGTAGCCCCCCTATACCCAGGCCTATAGATCTTAGGAAAACTGACTTCACCTGCTCTGGTACGGCGCAGCTGGATCTGTCTTGAGGATGAACATGGGGGCTAGAGCAGAGGCTTCTTGATGTAGTAACCTCTGGACGGCTCACAAGCATAAGTGCACATATACACTCACAGACATACACACACACAGCCCTGTGCATACATGCACACAGATATATATCACCACATAAAAAGCACCTGTCAGCTTAAGCCATCTCCACACTGACTGAGGAGGTCAGTTAAAGCAAAACTTTTACTGTTTATAAAACACTGTGGTTGTACTCATGGTAGAAAAGAGAACTTTAAGAGCATTTACAAACTGATTTGGCCCTTTGGTAAATCTTTGGAAATGGATAGAAAATTCAGAACTTTTTGGTGCTTCCAGGGCCACCTAGCCTGTGATTATAATAATTTAGAAATTTTTCATTATTTATCTTGTTTTATTTTGCCAGAAGTTCTCTTGTACTCTGGGATATTAAGAATTGAAACTATGTAATTACATAAAGGACTTCATTCTAATATCTTTTCATAACTCAAGAAACTCCATGTCAGAGTTGTTAAATTACTGCTTTTCATCAAATATTATAAATATAGTCCTGTTAACTCTTAAAATAAGTGACTACTATCAAAAGAAGCCCTTTGTTATATAATTCATTTTAACACTGAATAATCTCTGTTGTATGACTTTATTGTTAGGTGCTTTACCAAGTAAGAAAATATCTGCCCAAGTTTATATCACACTTTCATTTGTCCCATAATAATTAACATTTTCTGAATTAGAATAGATCTTAGAGAACATCCAATCCAGGTAAACTGTGCAGAGGGAAACATTATGTTATGCATTACACAAAAATAATTTTTATGGAGAACTACACAATATATAAAACCATACATTCAGAAAACATAGCTGGGCTTCATAATGAAGAACTTTCACAGAGAACCCTTTTGACACTACTAATTAGAATTTTTAAGTTGATACTTAAGGATGAATGACATGTATTACTGACTTGCTAAATGAGAGGGCTGATAAAACTGCATTAGTTAGGATGCTTTGGGCTGTAACAGAAAATGCAATAAGAATTGGCTTAACAGTAAGGAAGATATGCTCAATATGAAAATATTCTTCCCAGGTGGTGCTAGTGGTAATGAACTCACCTGCCAATGCAGGAGACACGGGTTCAATCCCTGTTCGGGAAAATCTGCTGGAGGAGGAAGTGGCAACCCACTCCAATATTCTTGCCTGGAGAATCCCACGGACAAGAGGAGGAGCTTGGTGGGCTATATAGTCCATAGGGTCGCAAAGAGTTGGCCACAACTGAAGCGGCTTAGCATGCATGCAGAGTTGGCTATTCAGCCACTCAATACTTCATCTGTGACTTAGGATCTATCCAACTTTCCATGTTTTCATTCTGAGAATCAACAAGTTGTCAGATTACATACCTACTTAGTTAAATCTGAATTTTAGTTAAATAATGTATAGCCCATGAGATATTGTTAACTGAAATTTCAAATTTAATGGAGACCTTGCATTATTATTTTCTAAATCTGGGAAACTTATCAGAATCTTGGTTTTTCTTTGCAGGCTCTCTACTACAGTATAAGATGGCTAACATACCATTTAGTGTTATATGTAGATACCAATATCCAGTGGAATAGAAAGGATTCTGGTGGTAAGGAAGAAAGTGGAGCCATAATGGTTTGGCAGGTCACCAAGGCAAATCTGAATTTTTGTTGACTGAAACGCAATTTCCTCTAATATTAGGTAGCTAGTTCTATAACTATGTAATTTAGCCTGCCTTCTGATGCAGGGGTGGGATCTTTTTCTATAAAAATTTATTTTTTGTTTTCTGAGGCTTTTAACTTCATTAGAACAGGGAAAGCCCATATCACTGTATGTAAAGTTAGTAAAAAAAAAATTGTAATGAGTATTCTGAAGTAAGAGAAGGAAATGGCTCATTTGCACACTTCCCCTTTTCTACATCATTCCTAGGGCACGTTGTTAGAGGTTTTCCATATACATGGTTGCTGGCTGTCTCTTCTTCCTTTATATTAGTTCACATTACCCATGGCCAAAACCTCAATTTCCCGTGTTCTCTTCCTCCTTCCACTCTCTCACCTTTTAAAAAACATATCTATATCCTTAGGGTCTTATTGGTACTTACATGATAATGGTTTTATATGGGCTAGATTAACTGTGCTAATATTTACTTTGCTAATGTGTTGAGCCTCTGAGGAAATTTAAGGCTTTAATCATTTCAAAAGTTCAACTCCTTTAAAAAGCTCTTCAGGAATGCCGCCAATTTACACATCTTGGGGTAATGGCCATTTTGGCTTCCCTGTCATACTCACAGAGGCAGGTGGCTACAAGAAAGCCTGGTTGGCCCGTGTGACTCCACTGTCTGGAGTTTGTTCATGTTTTCAGCCTGCTCTCTCATCTCAGGCCATCTCTCATTCTCTCATCAAACTCACATTGTCATCGGCTGGTTTCTGCAGCCATTTTCTCCACCCTGTTTCCTGTCTCATCTGGAGTGATTCATATGTGACTTCAGTATTTATAGAGATGCCCCACCCAACACCCTGGACTCATCATTTCTTGACCGCCTCTATTGCCCAGGCCTTTAACTCCTTTGGACTTCAGTGATCTACTGCCAATGCTACCCCATCTTTCCTGGAAACTCCTCACCTCTCTTAATTACATTTCACAATCATACTATCTTAATCTGAGTTCCTGCTCCTTTCAACTATCCCTCTTACTTCTAGCAAACTAACTGTTAGGCTTCATAAATAATCCAAAACCGTAAGAAAATAGCAAAGGTTAAGTCCTTTAAGTCCCTCTATGACCCTACTTCTTCATCTCCTGCCCTACCTCTTCTGTCCAACCTTCCTTCTGTGGTTTATCTCATCAACAAATCTACTGTCATCACACTTAAGCTCTGAGATCCTCTCCTGGAGGAATCCAAAATTTTGTCTCTTGAAATTCCACTCCAATGTACCTAAGCCTGCTAAAGGAAGTTACATCACTGTCATCAGCACCGTAAAGAGGTTAAAAGCATGGACTCTGGAGCCTGACCACCAAAGCTGAATTCTTGGTTCCTCCACTTACCAGCTGCGTGCCCGTAGCAAAACGGCACCACCTCTGTGGGACTCCTTTTTTTCATCTGTAAGAAGGAAATAATAACTGAACACATCTCATAGAGATACTATGATGAATGAGGCAATATTTATAAGGTGCTTAAAGGAGTTTCTACTTCTCTTGTAGTTTTATTCCATTGTTAATAGCAACTATTCCAAACCTTATTCTCTCATGGCTCACACTCCATCACTTCAGCAGATGATCTGGCCTCATTCTCAGAGTACACGTAAGACAATAGGTGTGAATTCCTTTAAATTATCTTACTCTGGAAACTTAACTACACTGGTGCATTTGTATCTCCTTCCCATCTAAAAGAAAGAAATCACCTTCTAAAATTAGTTTTCTTCCTTTTCTCAAGATCTTATCCCTTCAAATACCTAACTTTTTCTGTATACAGTTAACCTTTCTGTCTACTTGTTCCTGTTTCTAACCATGAATTTGAATTCCCATGCATTCCTATAAAAAAAATAACTAAAAATCCTTCAACATTTCCTTTTAGCTATTTTCCTATCTTCATCCTTCTCTTCATCAGATGTCTCCATTTCCTATTCCTACCTTTACTTTTCTTATGACTGCACTATTCAGAAATGATAGTATAATAATTATAAGAAGGTCTAATATTAAAATCAAGTGGGAATAAACTCCGAGGGATCAAAACTTTGGAATTGGCTTTTCCCCAACCTTAGCAGACAGAGATATTCATGATTTTGAATGCTTGTATATTTATATGTAATGACTTTCCTGCTCTTTTGTTCTAGCGTAACCAATTAATTGTTATCATTTGACTACCCCTGCTATTTCCTGTTTCCCTCTTTTAAAAAGAATTAGCCCTAGAGACTCCCACTATAATCAAGACTTCATTCTTCACCATTCCACCACACTTATTTGTCAAAGTCAGCAATAACATCTCAATTTCCAAATCCAGAGGTCAATTCTCAGTTTTCATCTTAATCAACTTCTCAGGAAGTTGGTAGAGTTTACTATTTCCTCTTCTTTAAAAGCTTTTTTCTCCCAGTTGCCTTCTGAATATCACTTTCAGTTCTCTTCCTACCTTGCTAGTTGATCTTTCTTAGCATCCTCTGATGGATGCTTCTCATTTATCTGCCCCGAAAATGTGAAGCACCCCAAGACACTATCCTTAAATACCTCATCTTAACATTCTCCACCAATTCCCTTCTGGTGGCCCCAACTAAATTTGTAGCTTCAGATATCATTTATATGCTGATGACTCTGAAACTGAGGTTCTAGTCCAGATTTTCCCCTTGAACTCTATACTCATTTACCCAAGTGTTAGAGTTAGTCGCTCAGTCATGTCCAACTCTGTGACCCCATGTAGCCCACCAGCCTCCTCTGTCCATGAAATTCTCCAGGTAAGAATACTGGAGTGGGTTGCCATTCCCTTCTCCAGGGGATCTTCCTGACCCAGGGATTGAACCCGAGTCTCCTGAACTGCAGGTGGATTCTCTACTGTCTGAGCCACCAGGTAAACCCTCATAATACCAAAATGCCTACTCAATATATTCACTTAGATGTCTAATGGGTTTTCAAACTTAACACATTGAACAAACTTCTATCTCTCCCAGAACTCCTCCATCTTTAATATTCTCCATCTCAGTCAGAGAGAGTATAAGAACTTAATAGTTTATGCTAGTAAATGGATGAAAGTTAGTAAAGGAGACTGGGAAGTAATAAATTATACAAACGTAAGATCAGGAAAGAAATGTGAGGAATAGTCAATCCTGACAAAAAGAAATCCAGAAAATGAGGGCTGAGAGGATCCACTAGATTTGCTATTTCAGAAGTCATTGATGACTACTGCCTCAGTAGGCTTGGAGTAGCTTACCTGGGAAACAGGAAGAAAGCTGATCAGAATGATATGGGAAAAAAATGGCAGTCTGATATAATGATTCCAAACACACACAGATACACGTATACATAGACATACACATACACCTTTACAGTATTTAAGCCAAACTTTTCATCCATAGTTCCAGCTTTGTACTATATTTCTGACCTTGCATCCAATATGCCCAATAATGAACTCATTTCCTTTCTTCTCTATTCTCTTTACTCTCAAACAAATTAATTTCACAAGACTAATCATTCTAAATTCTCTGTCATGTTATATGACGCCAATACTTATCCATTTACGTAAACTAGAAAGCAAACTTGGAGGTCATTCTATTTCTCCCCCCCCACCCATATTCTGTTTCTAATATGTCAAATCTGATCGCAGCCCCATCTCCACTGTCTAACTCTAGTCATTATAAACCTCCATCCTCTCAACCCCTGCCACTAATTAGCCTCCTAACTGGTTCCCTTGCCTGAGGCTTTCTCATGCCTTATTCTTCCAACTATATAGTTACAGTTATATAGCTTTCAGTAAAACACTTCAGTTAAAAACTGAAAGCTGCTTCCAGCTTCACACTGGCATTTACACACTCCCTTGGAATAGCACATGAGGGCCCTTAAAATTTGGCTCTCATCTACCATTTCAACCTCAGTTTATGACAGTTCCCCACTTGCCTTAACATAATCAAACTGAAGTACACTGCATGGGGTCAGGCACATACTTCCCACATTTGTATCTCTGGAATACTTAGAGCTTTTAAAGTTCAAATAAGTTTTCATCCTTAAATTGTAAATACAATTTCTAAAAGGCTGGAAAAATATTAGCTATAATACTGTCATTTAACAGAATATCTTTGTTTACATCCCTCCTAATGTCCCTCTAAAAATGTAAATATTTGTGTAGGAAACAAATAATTTTGCACAATATTCTCACACATTTTACTTAGCTAGTCCTTGTCATGTTGCAGGAAAGAAATAACAAAAATTATACAATTTATTATAAGGAAAAGAAATAAAGACAAAAGAAAAAAAAAGGGTGGGGACAGAATAAAGCCATGAATAAGGTTTAAGATGCATACCATGATGACCTACTCATCTACCATGAGTGAGCCACACATTTGGCTTTCAATTTTCTAGCTGCCAATGTGAAAACAGACATTTTGTCAGTTATCCAACTCCCAGTGCCTGTGAGATTAAACAAAAATGTCCTGGTAATTTTAACTCTTCTTGGAACAAATATTGTAAAAGGATATTTCTCCTGAGTTTCTCTTATAAAGAATACAGGGTGATATACTTAACAAGATTCTTATTAGAGATGACACATTTCATTCCATGTCACTGTCCAAACTGAG